GGAAGGCTGTTGATGAATTCTTAACTTTAAGCCATACTTTCGGAACTAACTAGTGCTATTTATTTGAAGCATCCTTTTCTCAAAATATTGCCAGTTTCGCAGCTGGTATTACTTCGTGATGTGTAACATCATTTTCCACCACCTAATCTCTGATCATACCCACCACTGTCGATGATCATTTCGAAGGTGAAATGCTGTTCGTGTGCCGACCATGTCGGGAAAAACGGAAGGATTGCATCCTGAGAATTAAGTTCATCTCTCAGGCAATCCATGGAAGAGGGAAGCGTCTGTAGGTAATTCCTGAATGAATGATGAACGCATCACAGACGAATATCTCAAACACCCTGACCTTAAGCCTGCAGATTTTGCGATCTGAATTGAAAGCTTTGAATGTGTTGTTACAGAATATTGTTGAGCGCGACGCGGAAGCATCAAAAAGGCTAATCTATTCGGTCTGTGAGGCAGAGCTCAGTGCGCCGTGTAATGTGATTTGTGGTACCGGCTTCTACAGCTATATTGCCCGAGCCAACCAGTTCTGTCTTGCTTCAGCACATGATGTGAGCTGCTATGCGTTTGTACCAGCCTGCGATTCCGATTTCCCGAACGAACAAAAAGCTAGAAAGCGGAGCACAACGAAATTCTGAGCATACCCTTCTTTTCAATGGTGCCTTCGCATTTATGCGAATGGAAACACATTGCGAACTTGTTTTTTTCTGCCAATGGATGCTCACATGCCAACTGCGGGACTATGGAATCCAGAAAGCTCAGACTCCATGAAATACTTTCCGACCCTCTCTGAGGCCATAAGCCTAAAATCAGCACAAGTTCTTCACTGTGTTCCAAACCAAAATAACCAAACAGATTAACATCGAAAAGAAACAACGTTCACATAGTACAGTACTCACTACTCATTTTATGGAGTACCAACAATGGCTTTTTCGCAAACTTTGTTATCGGTGGAACGATCCGTTAAAAATTTTGCCAAGATGCTTCACTTTTTAGAAACACAGCATATCATGCACGGCCCTTTTGGTGGGAAAAATTACTATCATGGGAATCACGGAAACTAGGATGCTGAAATATTAGGAGAATGTCCCCCGCCTATGTGTAACTTCGCAAAGTTAATTTCAGCTTTCATTTGCTACCGAGTACAACGTGCGGTCCTGAAAGTTTTGAAGGGGGAAATTATTATCGCGGGAGACAGAAAAGCAGGGAGGTTGAAAACTTCAGAGAATGATTTCTGACTATACAGGACCTTACAAGCTCGTAGCTCCCATATATGCGGAGTTCTAATTTACGACCACTGAAAGTTTCACCCGGAAGCCAGAAAAGTAGGAGGATGAAATTTTCGAAGAATGTTCACCGTCCAAGGTTTCAAATTCAACTTTCACGTACCCCAACGTTTCATGCATCGGTATGCGAAATTTTTAGCAAAAAATTCCGCAGCTTAAGAACTACACAACACAACGACTTCTTTTGCACAGCCCAAAGTGTAAAACAGTGAAAATCCTTAGCAAGCAAACGTTTACCCTAGGGAATAGTGCAAAATACATGGTCGCACCACCCTGGTGCGCGCCGCTGCTTATTACCATCAAAAAAATAAATAAATGGAAGCACGCACCAAGGTAGCCTGTGCGGTAATGCGTTTTGTGCAGTTTTGCCCAGCGAGCATTTGCTGTTAGGAATGATTTAAGGGAATTTATTTTTAAAAAATATAACTAGAGTGACTACTTTATAGTTTGCCGTGAACAGAAAGAGTGGAAATACTGTCTAGTTCCCAAGCTAAAAACTTCTCGCTGAAAACTCCACATGTTCGTACTTGAAACATAGGCGCACATGAGAGCTGGATTTGAGTTTATGGAGTCGCACATGAACAGAAAGCATCCTCCAACAATTTCGATCTCCTTTTAACTATGCGTTTTTGCCACGCAGCACTAGAACGCTGCAACGGGCAGCAAAAACGCATATTGCAACGACCCTGTGTGTGTTTGTGTATGTGTGTGTGTGTGTGTGTGTGTGTGTGTGTGTGTGTGTGTGTGTGTGTGT